GGGTTTCTATGGCATTTTGAGAATAAGGGTTTTGTTACTTGGTTTAAATTGAGCCCTAGGCTGTCATCCCCATCCTGGCTTATAAAGGGCCAGCTTTTTAGCTTCTTTACCAGCCGTTTGACCTGGACAAATTAATTAACCTGTCTCATGGATCTTTGTGTCCTCATTGTAAGACAGGAATTCTAACATGTAGGGATGAGAAATTATTGATGTGCAGTGCCTGCTGACAGGATTTTAAGTCTGTGGTACTTTGCTATGCCCTGGTTATAAATAAGGGCATGTCCATTTTAATTTTATGGTGGGCGTGGTTGATTGGGAGTCCAGAACAAAGGGAAGCTGAGGAATGTTATTTATAGGCTAATTAATCGTGTTTGTGGGGAAAAGGAAACGTCTATTGCCTGAGAAAATATTGATAGTTTAACCTGAAATATGGGTTTGGTGAACTCTAAAGATAGTGATGTGATATTTAGATGTAGAAAATAGGGCAAGAGCTACTGGTCCCACTGACAATATTTGCTTTTGATTTTATTTAAGTACAGGGTTAAATGGCTTGATCCATTAGCCAGTGGTATGTACTAGGCCAAATGCTTGTGAAAATGTCCTAGGGAAAAAATAATTATTGGCTACAAAATACTCTAAACAAGCAACAAAGAGAAGTAAATAAATAAAATAATATTTAATTAAAAATCTACAAAATGTGACTCTGATAACTTCATTACTGTTAGATTTAGTGTTCACACATATTTTATTACATTGTGAGGCATTGGTGCTCATGCGGAGGCTGTACATAGACCAAGAGGCAATCCTTTGAACGGAATAAGGGGATAAAATCGAAAAAGGTGTGGGTCAGGGTTGTATCATTTCACCATACTTATTCCATCTGTATGCTGAGTAAGTAATTCGAGACTCTGTACTGTCTGAAGAAGAACACAGCATCAGGATTGGAGGTAAACTCATTAATAGCCTGCGATATGCAGATGACACAACATTGCTTGTTGAAAGTGAAGAGGACTTGAACTACTTACAATGAAGATCAAAGACCACAGCCTTCAGTATGGATTAACCTCAACATAAAGAAAACAAAAATCCTCACAACTGGACCAGTAAGCAACATCATGATAAATGGAGGAAATATTGAAGTTGTCAAGGATTTCATTTTACTTGGATCCATAATCAATGCCCACAAAAAATAGCAATTGAGAAATCAAGTGCTGTATTGCATCGGGCACATTTGCTATAAAAAACGTCTCTGAAGTGTTAAAAAGCAACCATGTCACCTTGAGAACTAAAGTGTGCCCGACCCAAGCCGTAGTATTTTTAATTGCCTCATATGCATTCAAAAGCTGGACGATGAATAAGGAAGACTTAAGAAGAATTGATGCCTTTGAATTATGGTGTTGTCAAAGAATATTGAATATACCATGGACTACCAGAAGAATGAACAAATCTGTCTTGGAACAAGTACAACCAGAAAGCTCCTTAGAAGCAAAGATGGTGAGACTTTGTCTCATGTACTTTGGGCATGTTATCAGGGGGGACCAGTCCCTGGAGAAAGACATCGTGCTTGGTAGCGGGTCAGTGAAAAAGAGGAAGACC